CTATCCATCCATCCATTTTCGTCTGCTTATCCGGGGCCGCGGGGGCAGCAGCCTAAGCAGGGACTCCCAGACTTCCCTCACCCCAGACACGTCCTCCAGCTCCTCCGGGGGGACCCTGAGGCGTTCCCAGGCCAGCCCACAGACATAGTCCCTCCAGCGTGTCCTGGGTCTTCCCCGGGGCCTCCTCCTGCTGGGACATGCCCGAAACACCTCCCGAGGGAGGCGCCCAGGAGGCATCCGGAACAGATGTCCGAGCCTCAACTGGCTCCTCTCGACGTGGAGGAGCAGCGGCTCTACTCCGAGCTCCTCCTGTGTGACTGAGCTCCTCACCCTATCTCTAAGGGAGACACCCAGCCACCCTGCGGAGGAAACTCATTTGAAGCGCTTGTATCTGCGATCTCGTCCTTTCGGTCACTACCCAAAGCTCATGACCAGAGGTGAGAGTAGGAACGAAGACTGACGTTAAATCGAGAGCTTCGCCTTTCGGCTCAGCTCCCGCTTCACCACAACAGTCTGATAGAGCGACCGCATCACTGCAGACGCTGCACCGATCTGCCTGTCAATCTCACGTTCCGTCCTCCCCTCACTCGTGAACAAGACCCAGAGATACTTGAACTCCTCCACTTGAGGCAAGGACTCTCCACCCGCCCGGAGAGGACAAGACACCTTTTTCTGGTCGAGAACCATGGCCTCAGACTTGGAAGGAAACTATTTCTATAAAATATGTCAGTCCTTCCAAGCAAATTTTTATCATTTTAAATAATTTATTTTTTAAAAATCATGAACCTTCATCAACAGTACAAAGATGGAATAACACAAGATATGATGAAATACATCAGTTTATTTACATGATTTGCAGGTCTTTGAAATTTGGGAAATAATTTTTGTTCCATGTTTCATACATGGTCTGTTTAAAACATATGGAACTTTAGAACCAAAAATGGTACAGGAAAAAGGTCAACAGTTTCATAAACTAGAGTACATATGTATCTGTTCAATACATTTTTATATCAGATGCATTAACTTGAATTTTTGGCCTTGCTGTTTACTTCTGCTTGACTGGGCCCATTTACTACCTAGACAGAAAGGTACAGTATGACCCAAGGGTGCATTTTCGACCTGGATAGTTGGCGACTTTACGAATCAGATTTAATTTATTTCACCAGATTCTAAGCCACAAAACAAAACAAAAAAAAGATGTGAGAAATCTGACAGTTCACACCTGCAGGAAAACAAATATGCAAAAAGAGCAGAACTGATGAGCCAAAGACAAAAATGAAAGAGAAAATGTCAAAGAAATACAGTGATATACTGGTGTAAAAAATAAAAAATGTAGAATTTTGGTGATTTTCAACGTTAAATCCCAGTTCTTTCTTTTCTGTTCCCACGTGGTCTTATTTCTGTGTGATCCTTCAGCGGTTCAGGTCGGTTCTTATCTGATTAGTGTCTGATTTCCGATACTTTTGACGTCCACAGTTCTTACTCTGTGATGCTTCTGTGTTTTTTTTTCTCTTCTCTGTGCAGCTGTTGATCCACTGGTCTGGACTTCGATGACCTTTGACCCCAGTCTGAAGATGCAGACTAAATGGGATGAGACGTTTACGCTTCTGACTGAAAATAAATAGTCACAAGTCTTCACCAAAGTGCAGAAAATGAACTTAAGGAGATACGCCAAAACATCCACTGTAAAAATGTATGTACTGTATGTAATAAACAGTGTTGGGAAGGTGACTTTTAAAATGTAATCCCCTACAGATTACAGATTACAGACCCCAAAATGTAGTTTGTAACGTAATCCATTAAATTACTTAAAGTGAGTAACGTAATCTGAATACTTTGGATTACTTGATTTGCTGTAGAGAAGCAAAGACGAGGAAATCTGAACATAAGAAGTTTTGTCTGATAAAAGAAAATAAAAAGTCCAGACTTTACTGAACCAAATTAAAAATATTATTGATAGAAGAAGAGACACGTCCACACAGCAGGATTTAGTCCTGTTAAATCCTGTTTTAGATCTGGTTTTAGTCCTGGTTAATCCTGGTTTAGTCCTGGTTTAGACCTGGTTTAGACCTAGTTTTAGTCCTGGTTTAGACCTGGTTTTAGTCCTGGTTTAGTCTTGGTTTAGACCTGGTTTGGACTTGGTTTTAGACTTGGTTTAGACCTGGATTTAGACCTGGTTTAGACCTGGATTAGACCTGGTTTAGACCTGGTTTTAGACCTGGTTTAGACCTGGATTAGACCTGGTTTAGACCTGGTTTTAGACCTGGTTTAGTCTTGGTTTAGACCTGGTTTAGACCTGGTTTTAGACCTGGTTTGGACTTGGTTTTAGACTTGGTTTAGACCTGGATTTAGACCTGGTTTAGACCTGGATTAGACCTGGTTTAGACCTGGTTTTAGACCTGGTTTAGACCTGGATTAGACCTGGTTTAGACCTGGTTTTAGACCTGGTTTTAGACCTGGTTTAGTCTGGTTTAGACTGGTTTTAGACTGGTTTTGGACTGGTTTAGATTGGTTTAGACCTGGTTTAGACCTGGATTTAGACCTGGTTTAGACCTGGTTTTAGACCTGGTTTAGACCTGGATTAGACCTGGTTTAGACCTGGTTTTAGACCTGGTTTTAGTCTTGGTTTAGATCTGGTTTAGACCTGGTTTTAGACCTGGTTTGGACTTGGTTTTAGACTTGGTTTAGACCTGATTTAGACCTGGTTTAGACCTGGTTTAGACCTGGTTTAGACCTGGTTTTAGACCTGGTTTAGACCTGGATTAGACCTGGTTTAGACCTGGTTTTAGACCTGGTTTAGACCTGGTTTTAGACCTGGTTTAGTCTTGGTTTAGACCTGGTTTAGACCTGGTTTAGTCTTGGTTTAGACCTGGTTTAGACCTGGTTTAGACTTGGTTTTAGACTTGGTTTAGACCTGGATTTAGACCTGGTTTAGACCTGGATTAGACCTGGTTTAGACCTGGTTTTAGACCTGGTTTAGACCTGGATTAGACCTGGTTTAGACCTGGTTTAGACCTGGTTTAGGTTTTAGACCTGGTTTTAGACCTGGTTTAGTCTTGGTTTAGACCTGGTTTAGTCTTGGTTTAGATCTGGTTTAGACCTGGTTTTAGACCTGGTTTAGTCTTGGTTTAGACCTGGTTTAGACCTGGTTTAGACCTGGTTTAGACCTGGTTTAGTGTCCGGCAATGAGTGAAATTACTGAAAAAAAGAAAAAAAAGAAAGAAAAAAAGGAATATAGCCTGAAATGTGAAAACAGGAAAATACCGCCGTGTAATCCATTTATTCCAACAAAGTAACTGTAATCCAATTACCACTCACTGAAACAGTAACTGTAACTGAATACAGTTACTCATAATTTGTACTTTGATTACATAACTCTGGTACATGTAATCTGTTACTCCCCAACACTGGTAATATATAATCATAATTATAACCTTTATCCTACAAGATCAGTGATGTTTGCAGAATAATCCGAGTCATATTTTCATCTGGTTTTGTTTTAAAAAGAGAACAAAAAACACACAGGCAGACAGCGCCCTCTGCTGGTACACATGTGCTATTACACTTTCCATTTTCAGAAACGAGAAATCAGGTTTTTTTAGTTGCGCAGCCTAAATATTATTATAAAGACACTCGTGATAGTGAATTATATTATAGTAAATAGTAAATACAGTAAATTATATGAGAGAAAACCACTTTTACATCATGTACGTTTAAACAGTAAATAGAAAGTGTGACACAGACCTGAGAATATTCTGTTTGATTTGAATTCTGTTTTATGAAAGGTTTAAGAAATATTATGATACAAACCTAAACCCTAAATTCCTCGGGTGGGGCTGTTCAGGCCGAGTCCACAGGGGCAAAAGGGTTTATAGATGTGACGGGATAAATAATGACACTTACGGAACAATACAGACTGCACCTCCTCGAACTTACACTTGTGTGGGAAGGTGACTTTTAAAATGTAATCCCCTACAGATTACAGATTACACACCCCAAAATGTAGTTTGTAACGTAATCCATTAAATTACTTAAAGTGAGTAATGTAATCTGAATACTTTGGATTACTTCATTTGCTGTAGAGAAGCAAAGACGAGGAAATCTGAACATAAGTCTGCTAAAAGATAATAAACAAGTCCAGACTTTACTTAACCGTATTAAAAATATTATTGACAGAAGAGGAGGAAGAGACACGGCATGGTTTAGTCCTGTTAAATCCTGTTTTAGATCTGGTTTAGTCTTGGTTTAGTTCTGGTTTAAACCTAGTTTAGACCTGGTTTGAGACCTGGTTTAGATTTAGTTTAGACCTAGTTTTAGTCCTGCTTTAGTCCTGGTTTAGACCTGGTTTGGACCTGGTTTAGACCTGGTTTAGTCCTGGTTTAGACCTGGTTTGGACCTGGTTTAGACCTGGTTTAGTCCTGGTTTAGTGTCCAGCAATGAGTGGAATTACCAAAAAAAAAAAAAAAAAAAAAAAAAAAAAAAAAAAGGAACTACACTGTAAACCCAAATTTTCTTTTACATATTAAGCCATGCTAATATTACTAATCTTTTTAATATTTTGCAAAAGGCGGGACCATTACTAAACAAAGTGTGAATTGTAAACTATTTTAAACTAGTATTTGCTGTACTAATGGCTCTGAGTGGAGACGCTCACACTTGTATGTTTTTACCGGTGAAGGGAGGTGCTTGGCACCTGAACACTCCCAAACTGCACCAAACCACATCTGACTTCTGCTCGGACTGTTGGCTTCAATTCAGCGTCAGTTTGCTTTATCATCATATGGTAAGTGAATAAATATGGTTTCTGTTCCCGTGAGACTGAATAGTTGGTGACATTGGTTGACGCTTGCAGCCAAATAAGACTAAAGTGAAGTGAACTTGTGGTCACGATGCGCCGCTAACAGAGAACAGCTAATGCTAACAGGTAACGGTGTCTGAGCAGGTACTACCGGCATCTCTACCGGCCCGGTAGAGATGCGCGGAGGGCGGACTCCGCGGCTAAACCGCGGCTCGGGCGGATGACGCGACGAAAAATACTATTTTAATCAAATTCGGGCGGGTGGCGGTTTAACGACGCATGGACCCATAGAACTACTCACGTACACCGTGTGCACCGCGCCTTTTTTTTAATCGAGACTCGTTTTCGTTGTTTGCTATATGATTGTTCTAAAATCTAAAATCGTGGGTGCAAATGGAGAGTTTGGAGTTCAAGTTTTTAGATTATCACCACAAAATTGCATAAAAGCTTTGGTTGGAATTAAACACTAAAACATATTTTCAGTTTTACAGGTGACTACCCAACAGGCTGTGGAGCTGTAAATACTGTGAGTTCAGTTGTGATAAGAGAGGTTACTACCTCAGACACTACAGAACACTAATTTCTGTCTTTTTTTTTTTTTTTTTTTTTTTTAGATTTGTCTGGAATTCAAAAGGATTGTGGGAAAAGACCTGCACCAGGAATTTTATTCTGCCCTTGATAACCACACTACCCATTTTATTGAAAGTTTTAAAGCTAAGAGGGGCAACGTGGGTGACAGTTGGCACAGCTTTTGCAGCAAATACAGGTAAAACTTTTGTAACCTGGATAAAAATACATGTGCAGTAAAAGCATAAGTTCATAACATAGTTAATCTAAAATGGATAAAAAGATAATTCATTTTTATTAAAATACATAGTTCATGTTAATGGTTAAATGTATATTTACAAAAGTGTTTGCGTCTCTGTATATTTCTTTTAATTTATCATACAGTATCCATTTTCTGTCTTACAGTCACTGGATTCTACTGAAAAAAGGACAGTCACACTAAGAGGTCTTCCTTACTTACTCGGAGACAATCCCACTGAATTCTTCAAATCTAGAAGCTTTGTAAGTGTACATTTTGTTTGTAATGTGAAACTTTTAGAATGTGACATTTATTGTATAATTTGAATATGCCAAAACTGACAAGTAGTCTATACATTACGAGCTTCAGCCATTCCATGAATATTATTTATCTTAAAGTCAGATTATTATTGATTTTCAAATATTTGTTTGAACATTTATCAGTTATCATGTCAGCATAAATTTAATTTCATGCAATTTATGTTTTGTCATTCTTATTGAGTCTGTTCTAGTTCAGTAATTTCATTCACTAATGGTTATGTTTCTGGCATTAATTTTTTTTGTTTTTCTTTAGGATGGTGATGAATCCTTTCGCCAAATGGACATTGGGATCTTGTTAGTAAATCTGAAGGTGTCTCTCTTCCAACACCAGATCTTCCCCCAGCTGCCTGAAAATCATCATTGAGGGTGAAATTGTTATGGACAAGCTGACGACCCTTATAACCCCTTGTTTGAATTGTGAAATGTAAAACACAAAAGCAAATGCTGTTACAGGGAACAAACAGAAGACTGCACTTTATTCAGGTTTAAGCATGTTATTATTGCTCTATTTTTGCAATAAATTTGTGAGAAAAAAATTGTCATTTTATGTCAATTATTAAAAAAATAATATGATGTATAATTTGCATCTAATTATTATAATTAATAAACATATTCAATAAATACTCATAAATATCAGAAATACATACTGATAAAAAAAAGTAATGATTACTGTAATACACAAGTAATGGTTAGTTAATTACTTGTAAACATTAGTTTTAGAAACTTAAGTTCTTTAGTAATGGGTTATCTTGGACAGAAGACTTTATGTAAACAGAGCTTGATTTGTTTAGTTTTTGATATTGTAAAAACTAGACATCCCAGTGCGTCACTTACCACGCACGGTTTTAGTAATGATTACTAATTTGGGTTTACAGTGTACCCCGAAATGTAAAAACAGGAAAATCCCGCCATGTAATCCATTTATTTCAACAAAGTAACTGTAATCCAATTACCGCTCACTGAAACAGTAACTGTAACTGAATACAGTTACTCATAATTTGTACTCTGATTACTTAACTCCGGTACATGTAATCTGTTACTCCCCAACATTGAGTATGACCTGTGTGTGAGTATGATGATTTTTAACTCTGTACATATTGAGAAAACTGTTGTATGACAATCGGACTCGGACCTGAACCAAATCAATCAGACCGAGACCTCAAAAAAGAGGTGGTCTTGGTTCGCTTGAATCTGCACCAAATACCAAATTTTGGTGCGGTTCCTCTGGTGTGAACGTGAACTCAGGTCCAAACCACAGACAGCAGGTCCAAATGAACTATTCCAAATGCATCATGGGAGGGACATGCGTCTCCTCTGCCTGAAGTGACGCGCTGTACGACTCCAGCGCAGTAACAGATTGTTGTCCAGACGCAGCCGCGACTCATCTTCGAATTATTTTGCCAACATTGGCCAATACAGAGACTGTGATACAGTGTACGAACGTGTGGCTCCGGAGTGAGTCAAAATTGGGGGTGTGTACATCTGTTCAGGACCTGCACACACAGAGACGACCCGGTGTTCCTCGTGTTCACGAAACAACCAGCATCTGTTAGTTTAGGCTTTAATTAACCAAATAATTTTATGGCAATAGGCAATAGCCTATTCAATTGGTTCAACTTTAAAAATGTCCTGCTTTTAGCCTAATGTGAGAAATACAGTCGGACTAGATCTAAACCAGAGTCCTGACCCAGCGGGAGCAGCTCCGGTTCAGTCCAGGCTCAGATGACGTGGAGCAGGGAGCAGTGTCAGGAGCCTTGGCCTCACATTTCACGTTTCTGTCCAGATGCTTTGCATCACCTCAGAACCAGTCGTGGTTCTTGAGCGTGGAGGACTGGAGCAGCCCGTCTGGACCTGTAGTCCACAGAACATTCTCACTTTTCCCCACACGGAACCAGCGCGCAGACGATGACACAGAACCACTCGGACCCAGTCCATCATGAACTGGTCTTGCTCGCCCCCGTCTGGAACCAGCACATGGAGGATGGAGCCTCCAGACCAAGGACCAGACCAAGGACCAGACCAAGGACCAGACCTAAGGACCAGACCAAGGACCAGACCAAGGACCAGACCAAGGACCAGACCAAGGACCAGACCAAGGACCAGACCAAGGACCAGACCTCAGCCCCGTCCTGAGGGTCTGAGCTGCGGTGAGTAGCTCCTCTTTACCGCTGTTGGCTGCTGCTGTTTCCCGAGCTCAGTTCTTCTGCTCCGGGCTGATGTGGTGAGTTTGTACAAAGTTCTACATGTTGTTGTTTTATGATTTCCTGGTGATAAGTTGACACGAGGACGTCCATGGTCGTAAGAGGGAACATCGGTGTTGATAACTGGAGGTATCGCTGTTTTCCTGGGAACAGAGGCACGTCAATCAGACCAGTTTTGGTTCATTTGTCGGTGTGAAAGCGGATCACACTATAGTGTTTGTGCTACATAATAACAATTTTATTGCCTCGTGAATAAATATGAATGAATGAATAAATATAATAAAATGTGTACAATAGAAATAAGTAAAAGTATAAGATTTCAATCAAAAGCTGAGCTAAAAAGGTGAGTCTTGAGCCTGTTCTTAAAAACATGAATGTTCTCTGCAGCTCTGAGCTCCTCCGGCAGACAGACGGGGGCTGTACGGGGGGGGGGCATCTTTCTTTCCAGGCGAGAAAATAAATGTTTGGTTCTGACTGATCCGCCCCAGGAGAGTGGGAGGGAAAAAACATGTTCTTCGGGTCAACGTGACTCCGAGGAGTGCGGGAGGGTTGATCTTACTTTTAAACTTTACATAACCATGAAACTACTTTTTCTTTTTTGTTCTTTTTCTTCTTAGTCTTGTCCGGACACGCGCGCTGTATTGACTCCGGGCAGCGGACACACGCGCCACAAACCTGCATACCTGCTCTGATCTCACGCTCACGCACGCCCACGCACGCCCATCCCACGCCCACGCACGTACGGACTGAACATGCGGCGTTACCGGTGCCTCCTGCGGTTCGGCGTCATTCACGTGTTTCTCTTCCTCGGCGCGGTGACCTCCTCGTCTCCGGGCAGCAGCATGGAACAGCCCGGCGCAGGCGCACAGGTACCGCACCGCACTTACAACGATCTGTTTAAACAAACTATGTCCAGTGATGCAAACATGAACTGAACATGTTTTTAGTTACAGAATATTCATTCAATTAATAGTTTATTTTGTAACGTTGTGATGCACGATTCAATCAGAATACACCGAGATAAACCAGGACTAAACTAGGACTAAACCAGGTCTAAACCAGGACTTAACCAGGTCTAAACCAGGTTTAAACTAGGACTAAACCAGGTCTAAACCAGGTTTAAACTAGGACTAAACCAGGTTTAAACAAGGTCTAAACAAGGACTAAATCGGGTCTAAACCAGGTCTAAACTAGGACTAAACCAGATCTAAAACCAGGTCTAAACTAGGATTAAACCAGGTCTAAACAAGGACTAAACCAGGTCTAAACTAGGACTAAACCAGATCTAAATCAGGTCTAAACTAGGATTAAACCAGGTCTAAAACCAGGACTAAACCAGGTTTAAACAAGGTCTAAACAAGGACTAAATCGGGTCTAAACCAGGACTTAAGCAGGTCTAAAGTAGGTCTAAACCAGGTCTAAACTAGGACTAAACCAGATCTAAATCAGGTCTAAACTAGGATTAAACCAGGTCTAAACCAGGTCTAAACAAGGACTAAACCAGGTCTAAACTAGAACTAAACCAAGTCTAAAACCAGGTCTAAACAAGGACTAAACCAGGTCTAAAAAAACTAGGAAACTAAACCAAGGTCTAAAACCAGGTCTAAACAAGGATCTAAACCAGGTCTAAACTAGGACTAAACCAGATCTAAATCAGGTCTAAACTAGGATTAAACCAGGTCTAAAACCAGGTCTAAACCAGGTCTAAACAAGGACTAAACCAGGTCTAAACTAAGACTAAATTAGGTCTAAACCAGATCTAAATCTGGTCTAAACCAGGTCTTAACCAGGTCTAAACTGGGACTAAACCAGGTTTAAACCAGATCTAAACCAGAGTTTATATTATGGTGTTAAAAACATGACATATTGACCTAATTTATGAGCATCTTAATTGTTGTTGTTGTTGTTGTTTTGTTCTTTTGTGTTTAATTACAGACAGAAATCGTTCATGCAAACACTGTAAGACCTGTTCTTCTGTTTTTCTTACTAAGACCCAGTGATGGATGAAGTTTCTACTTGATTTTGTTACTTACTTATTTAGAGTGACCAGATTTTCAAAATTCAAAACAGGTTGGACTGGTTGGTATAAATAAAACTGTGAAAATAGTCTGTAACATTCTGCATTCTCATGTCAGTCATGACCTGAGGGGCTTCTGACGCTGCATTTTTTTTTTTTGCTTTATTGTCATTTTCAAACACGGTTTTCTGTATTTTGGCAAAACAAATGACAATTTATACTTCTCTTTACTGTTGCAGAGGATCAGATTAGTCAAAAATTGTGATAGTCCTGTTTTAGTCCTGGTTTAGTTTTAGTTTAGACATTGTTTAGACTTGGTTTAGACCTGGTTTAGACCTGGTTTAGACCTGGTTTAGTCCTAGTTTAGGCCTGGTTTAGACCTGGTTTAGTCCTGGTTTAGTCCTGGTTTAGGCCTGGTTTAGACCTGGTTTAGACCTGGTTTAGTCCTGGTTTAGTCCTGGTTTAGACCTGGTTTAGTCCTGGTTTAGTCCTGGTTTAGACTTGATGTAGTCCTGGTTTAGTCTTTGTTTAGACCTGGTTTAGACCTGGTTTAGACTTGATGTAGTTCTGGTTTAGTCTTAGTTTAGACCTGGGTCAGTCCTAGTTTAAACCTAGTTTAGACCTGGTTTAGACTTGGTTTAGACCTGGTTTAGACCTGGTTTAGACCTGGTTTAGACTTGGTTTAGACCTGGTTTAGACCTGGTTTTTACTTGGTTTAGACCTGGTTTAGACCTGGTTTAGACTTGGTTTAGACCTGGTTTTAGACCTGGTTTAGACCTGGTTTAGACTGGTTTAGACCTGGTTTAGACTTGGTTTAGACCTGGTTTAGACCTGGTTTAGACCTGGTTTAGACTTTATTTAGACCTGGGTCAGTCCTAGTTTAAACCTAGTTTCGACCTGGTTTAGACCTGGTTTTATTGTAGTTTAGACCTGGTTTAGACCTGGTTTAGACTTCGTTTAGACCTGGTTTAGACCTGGTTCAGACTTGGTTTAGACCTGGGTCAGTCCTAGTTTAAACCTAGTTTAGACTTGGTTTAGACCTGGTTTAGACCTGGTTTAGACTTGGTTTAGACCTGGTTTAGACCTGGTTTAGTCTTAGTTTAGACCTGGTTTAGATCAAATTGGTCAAAAATAGGGACACCTGGAAGATTTCTTGTACAAAACTGCAACAAATCAGTGGTTTTGTATAAATCTGCTGGGACAGGGGACACAAGGCTCAAAACTGGGACTGTCCCGGGTCAATAGGGACGTCTGGTCACTTTACCCTTACTATAAGTAAGAGTATTAGTATAAGTAAATGTATCACAATGTACTTATGTAATGTACTTTAAGAGTAAAAAGTAAAAGTATTTCACACAGGGGTTGTTGCTTTGTTAAAATGTAGACTGATGATATGTTTATCAGCTCAAAGCTGAAGATTGAATTAAAAAAGGATGTCAGAATGTTCCTGCAAACATGGTAAAAAAGAATTAAAATAACTTGGAAAAGTACTTTTAAAGTCCTGTTTAAAAATGTAGTGGAGTAGAAAATACAGACACCTGCTCTCAAATGTAGTGAAGAAAAAGTAAAAAGTAAGGCTGTGTAATTAATCGAATTTTGATCTTGTTTTCGTTTTTGTGTGTCAAATGATCTCCAAACTCATATAATTGAGTTTATTTTGGGATATTTTTTATATAAATAAGTATATTTATTGTATTTTTTAAAATATAGAGATGGTAAAACAGCTGGATATATAGTTTATTTTGGACACATTTATGTTTTTCTGCCTTATTTTGTGTTCAAAGTTTATTTTATTCATTTTATACATCACAAAACTGCTCTAAGGTTCAAATTTGTAACCTTTATTTATTTTAACTTTTCAAGTTTTGCGTAAATTATCAATAACAAAGTGGGGTTTTGTGGAGAGGGAAATGCTGAATAAATTCATAACTAAAAAATAATAATTTGAATAATCGTGATTTCAATATTGACCAAAATAATCATGATAATGGAAAAAAATCTGTAAATATCCACTTGAACATCTACTTAAAGCTGCATTGTGTAACTTTTCTGGTAGAGGAATGGACCAAGTTACAGTTCAGGTCTGTGGAGAGGCGACGCCGCTCAGAGTCAGAATGTTTGTTTTTCTAGATATTTTTGAGCTGTAACTAAAAAAAACATAAGGTAGATCTGTTTAAAGTCATATTGTGGAACATTTCAGGCAGAGCAATGACATTTCCATGGAAACTAACTAAAAAAATGACATAGTGCATGTCTAACTAAAGTACAGAATCTCAAATTTATACTTACTTACAATTAGTGCTGTCATGCGATTAAAAAAATTGAGAGATTAATTAATTATGATCTGTAATTAATTAATCTAATTAATCTCATTTTAATCTCACCTAAAAATTGCTGAGAAAAGCTTCAACTTGAGGTATTTTCATTTAAATTCATTATAACATTATTGTGGCAGATCAAAAGACTGATATAGAACAAAAAAAAGTGACTTTATAAAGTCATTTATTGTTTAACAAATCTCTCCAAATTGGTTGTTGAGCCCAAGTCTCCATGAATAAGAAACTGTTTGTTGTAAAATAGCAAAGACGAGGAAATCTGAACATAATAACTTTTGTTGACTTAAAGACAATAAAAAGTCCAGTCTTTCCTTAACCATATTAAAAATATTATTGATAGAGAAATGCTTTATATATGAAATCACTGGTTTTAGTCCTGGTTTAGTCCTGGTTTAGACCTGGTTTAGTCCTGGTTTAGACCTGGACTGGGTTAGTCCCGGTTTTAGTCTTGGTGTTAGTTCTGGTTTAGAGGCACAGGAGGAAGCGCGGTTTACGCACCGCGAGAAAACGTACGCGGCGCACGGGAGCACGTCGGTGTCCGCGCAGTAACTACGGAAAGAAACGTGGTCCGCGCGTCCTCAGGTTAATGACGATGATGGTGTGTTTGTGTGTGTTTGTGTGTGTGTGTGTGTGTGTGTGTGTGTGTGTTTGTTGTGTGTTGTGTGTGTGTGTGTGTTTGTGTGTGTTTGTGTGTGTGTGTGTGTTTGTGTGTGTTGTGTGTGTGTGTGTGTTTGTGTGTGTTGTGTGTTGTGTGTGTGTTTGTGTGTGTGTTGTGTGTGTTTGTGTGTGTGTTTTGTGTGTGTGTGTGTGTTTTGTGTGTTGTGTGTGTGTTTGTGTGTGTGTCCCCTCATGTGGCAGGTCACTATAGGACAGTAGTGCAGACAAAATGAGTCTATGCAGGTTGTTTTCACCAGTGACATTTAAGTTGTAGACGATTTTATATTTGTTATTTTCTTTTATATTTCACGTCGGGAGAATAATTTCCAAGACACAAATGTGTTTTTCCCTGTGCACTGCTGCCTCTGTTCTACTGGCTCTACGACCTCGTCCATTGTGCGACTGACGCCACCAACGTTAACATGACGTTTACATTGCTCTTACTGCGCGCGTTTTGTGTGGGTTTCCGGCAATGAGTGGAATTACCGAAATAAAAAAATATATAAATGTGTTTTTTTGTGTGTGTGTTGTTGTCCCAACAACACATAAAAACAGATTTTATAATAAAGCAACTCGCATACAGAAACTGTAAAGTTAGAGATTAAAAATGAGATTAACGCGATTAAAAAACATAACGCGCTAAATATGACTGTAATTAATTAATCGCAATTAACGCGATAATGTGACACCCCTACTTACAATACTTTACAACTTTTACTTACGTTCCATCAGCGCTCACAGAGTTGTTGTTTACTTGATGCATTTTTTCCTGGTGAGTAATTTCTTGGACTTGATAATCGCCAAAACTGAATTCTAATGCGACTGTGAGGTGCCAGGAAATAAAACAGTTGCAGATATT